TTTGTGGATTTCTGCTACTCTTCCGTTGTCACCCCCAAGCTCCTGGAGAACCTGATTGTGGAGGACAGAAGCATCTCCTTTGCAGGCTGTGTCAGCCAATTCTTCTTTGCATGTGTCTGTGTAGTAACAGAGACTTTCATGTTGGCAGCCATGGCCTATGACCGATTTGTGGCCGTTTGTAACCCTCTCCTATATACAGTGGCCATGTCTTCAAAGCTATGTTCCTTGTTGGTGGCTGCATGCTACTTTTGGGGTATGCTGTGTTCTTTTGTATTCATATACTATTTGTTAACTTTGAATTTCTGTGGGACAAAGGTTATAAACAACTTTGTGTGTGAGCATTCTGCCATTGTTGCTGTGTCCTGCTCTGACCCTTATGTAAGTCAGTTGTCTATTGTGATCTTTGCCATATTCGATGAAATAAGCAGCCTGGGCATTGTTTTCACCTCCTATGTGTTTATTTTTTTCACTGTGATGAGAATGCCCTCCACTGCGGGGCGCTACAAAGCATTCTCCACATGTGCTTCCCACCTCACCGCCATTGCTATTTTCCATGGCCCCATCCTTTTTCTCTACTGTGTTCCTACAACCAAAAGTTCATGGTTGTTGGTGAAGATTGCCTCTATCTTCTACACCGTGGTCGTCCCTATGCTGAATCCACTGATTTACAGTCTCAGGAACAAAGATGTGAAGCAGGCAGCCAGGAGGCTAATCAATTCCCAACTATCCTGTCATAAAAGTTGACTCTGATGCTATGATTTAATTACAAACCAATACAAAATCGTATTTTATTTCTTCACTTGGTGTATCTGCCTTCTAATAGTAACAAAACCCAGCTCCTAAATTAGCTCCTGAATTATAAAAATTATAAATATTTTATAAGTGATATCTCAGATCATTTAAACGAAGTCTTGGATTCACCTATTTGTGTGTGTGTGTGTGTGTGTGTGTGTGTGTGTGTGTGTATCATGGGACCTGAACTCTGGGCCTGGGTGCTGTCCCTCATCTATCCAGCTCCAGGCAAGTGCTCTAAGACTTGAGGGATTCAGCTGTTTATTTACAAAGGTCAATATAATCTTCATAAGTATTGGATTTTAAAGAGTCTGTATAGATCTAGACTCTGGAAATAGAGCTCATAATTTCAAATTTCTAGATGCAGATGTATTCAAAATTTTCCCCATGTCAAAACTAGTTCTTGATCATTCTACATTGGATTGGAAAGTATGCACACATGCCAACATAAAAATAATGCAAATCATAAAAACTTCTTTAAATTGCTATAATGCAGCATGGTTAAATCTTTTGGGAAGATAATGTGGGAGAAAATTATGGAAGTGTTTATGTATGTATTTATATGCATAAATATGTGTGTGTGTGTACAAATTTTATTCATCCATTAGGAAGAATAAAATATCATTTTCAAGGAAGTTGATGTTCTGGAAAAGAAATTTTGTTAACTGAAATAGGCTGACTGAAATAGGGAATGTGAAAATATTTCCTAACATATATTAAAATAACATCTAAAATGTAATCAACCATGCACATATATGTAGGGTCATATTCATATATATATAATGAAATTGAGTAAATGGTGGTATTTTCAGGGATGAATTCCCATGGTGTAACTCCATTGAAAAGGGAGTTGATAGTTCAACAAGAGTATGAAGAATTTTCAACATGTTTTTATGAGGTAGCAGTTCTGTTATTTGGTTAGATTGGTTTCATTGGTTTGTTTTGGCACCAGTCCTGGGGTTTGAATTTAGGGTCTGGATGCTTCCCTAAGATTTGTCACTCAGGATTAGTGCGCTATCACTTGAGCCACAGCTCCAGTTCCAGTTATTAGGTGTTTTCAACTGGAGATAAAAAGTCTCACTTCCCTCCCTAGTTGAACACTCTACCACTATTCTTAGATCTCAGTGTCCTGAGTATTTTGGATATTGGGTATGACATCCAGGCACCCAGCAACTACACTGCTTTTTGGAGAGGGAGAAAACTACATGGAAAGAGGTTGGTGGGCAAATACATTCACTTTACTCAAAGTAAACGTGTGATTATAAAACCAGATATCTTGTGGTATGGGTGGTTTAAAAGAGAGGGCAGACTGAGAAAATGTTGGAAGGGATAAGACACTATACTAAGTGACAGGTTGAATTGTGATCAAGATGCATTGTACTGATATATCAACACTTTGAGTTGCAATCCCTTTGTATGATTATTTAAAGTTAATAAAATTATTTTTGTATTTCAAGTTCCATTTTTCTTTATGCACCTGTAAAAGGAATGGATTTGTTTTATAAGTTTATGCTTAGCCTTTATTATCATCTCTGATAATACAATTTTGTGTGACTTCTGTATTTCAGAAAAATTATTAGTTTTTGTAAGAAATAACATGGAAGTTATTATTATTATGTTGTTCCCTTATGGCAACGCAATATGATAATCATGAGACTCATATTGCTGTAATGCACAGATAGTAATTAAAGGTAAACGAATAAGGAAACAATCTCCATGATATAGTACTTGAATCCTAGGATGTGTGAATGGATCCATTGGATCAATGAACCTTCAGTTGCCAGCCCTAACATTTGCCATTTTTTGTGGAATTGTTCCTATTCACTGTGATAAAGACAGGTAGGAACCCATATTCAACTAGGGTTCACTGGGGTGAATGTAATGTTGAGTTAGAACATCATATCCAATTCTCACTATAACAGTGAAATTTAATATGTCGGTTATTCTCTTAGAATATAAATAAATAACTATGGTAATATAGTTTCAGAATGTTTACATATAGTTTAAATATATTGAGCTAATTATACTAACGAATTTTTAAAATTATGGTTATATATTGTGACAAAATAGGCAAAGTACATTCAATATGAATACAATTAATAGTGGACTCTAGCCTTAAGCAGATTATATATATCTTATCTAAATTATACTTATATGTGTAATATATATTATAAGATAACATTCTAAAATATATCATACATATAATATGTATAATATATATATTATATATCATACATATATACTGTAAAAAATACATATGTATATACTGTAAAAGATAAATACATATGTGTTATACATAATGTTTATTATACTATATATTATATATGGGATAAAATACAATAATTATATTATTGTATATTATATTACACTATATATTATATTGCATGTAATATATTAATATAACTTCATATGATATAATATCATAGTTTACATATAACATATAATACTTACAATATAAATTATATTAAATATAGTATAATTACATAGTAGTATAATTACATAGTAATATAATATAGCATAATATATACTATACAATACAATAATAAAATACATAATGTAATATATAATATATTATATGCAATAACATAATCTATATACTCTTACATATTATATATAATATATAATATTTAAAACACACAGTTTTATTTTTCAGTTTTGACTCTAAACTGAGGGCCTGAGTGCTGTCCCTGAGCTCTTGCTCTAGGCTAGCATTTTAACACTTGGAGCCATAGTGCCATTTCTGGTTTTCTGATAGTTAACTGCAGTCTCATAACTTTCTTGCCTGGGCCAGCTTTGAACCTCAATCCTTGGATCTCAGGCTCCTGAGTAGCTATGATTACAGGCGTGAGCCACAGACACCTAGCTCTATAGAAACTATTTTAATTGCTTATTTATCCTTTTAGACAATTACATCTCTCTGTATTCATAATTTTGGTTAATGAGTGGAGTTGATCACCCAAATGCTCCGGGGTTTTGGGGATGTTCTGCAAAACTAAGTTCTCTCATGGGACTATGATATATCTAATTGCTCAAAACTGTTACCTTAGACAATATTCAGTGATATTCCCTGGTTTTCACATCCACAGAAGTAATGATGATATATGTTTATGACAAGGTTTAGTACCAGTATTTCCTTTTCTTTGTGTGTAATCTTTTGTCTAGTTTCTCTGAATTGACTTACAGGTTGGAAACATATATGATATGAAATAGTCACCCAAGTCTACTGTGGACTCGACTGGTTCAGAGATATTTCTTTTACTTATACAATAAGCAGGGGTAGTTTTGGAGTTTACTAATCTTACTAAAGATTAGTAGATGTCTCACTACACTGCCTCTGTATTTTGGTGAGTTGACTCTGTTCTTCTGTTATTTTATTCTAACAAGAAAAATATTATGACCTAGTGATCTTTATCAGTAGAAAGGAAATGTTTATTTCCCAACAGCCTCCAAATACAGTTAGTTTTACCAAGTAACTTGGCATGCTACATTCTGAATCCATTCTAGTGTTTTTTTTTTCATTTTATAATCATCATGAATCACTAACAAAATGACAATTATAGAGGTTAGGGAAGTAAAAGGTTATTATCTTTAAATTTCCTCTAATCCCTGAGTAATTAAATGAGAGGAATAAGTATGTTGGTAAATGGTAGAATGAAGTTTTTGTAATTGTGCTTAAAAACATTAATGTTTGCCTCTACAAAGAGAGGCAATGATTGTTTACCATAGAAGTTGAAAGAATAAAGCATTATAAACATAAAGTTAGTATAGGAGAACAATTTCACGCATATGAATACGTGCTCTCTGTAGAGAAATCCATCCTCACTAGAGAAGACTCTGTTACTCTAAGGACACTCAATATCTTCATTTAGAAATATGCCACAGCAAAGAGAGGATTTCATGTTTTCACTAATTAAACATGAGGAAATCCCTAAAGTTGCATCAATCACATAAAAATATTATAAACATATTTTCACATTGATACCTGGAATACTAACAATTTTTTTATTTTTATTAATCTTCTTGTGTTACTCAGACTGTCCAAGATCTTCCATCTTTATATAGCTCTTCCGATTACTAGAAGCATACACCAGGCAATCTCAACTTAGAATACATTACATTAGTAAGATGTAGCTAGGAAACTGACACACTGCTTTCCCTTGTGTTTGCTATGATGTTTGATTCCCTACCCCAGAGTATATAAGGCTGTATTTTCCCTGTCTTTTCCTCAGCTTTGTTACTATTATTATTTTGATGCTTGTTGGCCTGTTGTTTCAATTGGCATTTCTTTGTGCCTAAGAATACAGAATATTTCTTATCACTTTTATAAACACAGAACCTGCTCAGCTTTATTTAATTCTAATCCTGCATATTTATTTGTAACAAGCTATGTGTTCTATCCTTTAAATACATACTAATATGTGTATTCAGCTTAATACCATCAGCATACTTATTTCAATATAAAGTAATGACTTGGAGCATATGAATGAGCTATCATTTTCTGTTTGAGATAGTTCCCTTGAACACTTCCCATGTACAGAACACATCCTGAACAATGGATTAATATATGATGCATTTCTAATATTTTGAGAATTGCAGTTTTCCAATTATATAACTTCTGAAACTGTACCTATTGCAAAATGTAGAGATTTCTACTATTACTTTATTATTCATTATTACCTGTTTTGTCACTGCTGAGACAGTAATGTTATAAGCACATTTTAATGAGTAATATGATTTTCCACTGTGGTTTATGATTCATGTTGACGATCCTCATTACTCTGAGGCTGATATATACTGTAGGTCATAGTTTGAGTACAACCTAGTCAAAACAATATTGTGAGAATATATTTTAATCAGTAAATAGCGAGTTGTAATAGCATGGGTGTATCTTTACAGCTCCTCAGAAAACATAAATAGAAGAATCATAGCCCAGGCCAGTTCAAGAAAAAAAT